TTAAAAGGGAAAAATTTTTGTTTTTTTCCAAAAAAAAAAAAAAAAAAAAAAAAAAAAGGAACAGAAAGTTGGATATGAATTATGGTTAAAATTCGTATATAAATTTAAGCAAAAAAAGTTGCATCAAGAAAATTCAAATTAGAAAGTGACAGAGCACATAACTTTCTAATGCAAAGCAAGAGCTTACTTTTTAATTTATATTTGCATTTTCGCAAGCTACTTATGCGCATCTATCTAATTGATCAATTTTATATAAACAAAATCAGAACCATTAATCCAAAATGTGAACTTTCATGGATAATAACTCAGAATCATTAATCTAAAAAAGAATTTTCATATGTACTAACACACCAAAAATCTTAAAAATATAAAATTCATAGTTAAAAAATATAGGGCAGTGAATCTGTGAAATTAGTTAATAACTGCTTTCCTTTTACTGAATAGTTATGAAATTTACAATCTATTGTTGAATAATCAAACAAAAATATGAACTATTTCAATCATAATTTTTTCAAAATTAATTTTTTTGGCGATTGTGTAGTTAAAAAGTATAAAAATATTTAGATTTATGTGAAAAATAGTCAAATAACTTTTGTTGATTAGGAAACACTCAAATTTGAATTTGGAAAAAGGATTTGCGATCCACGCCTTAACACTAAGCTATGCTGCCAAAATGATATAAGGTGTATATGACAATTTTATTTTATTTTTTTATTTTTTTGTGGATTAAGGAATTTTTATTATACTTGCATTTTGAGTCCTACTTTCTTAATCTTTTTCCTAAAAGAAACCTTTTTTTGATTGAATTTGGCCAATCGGTTAGATTGATTGTATAGTATCCGAAAATCCAGAATGTTAAAAAAATATCTCATTTTTCTTTTGAGAAACTAAATGTGAATTTTCAACCAAAATTTAGGACAAATTTAAAAAGATTTGTGCCAAAATAACAGATGTTATGAAAAGCAAAATGCCTTGGACACGTAATGGGTGTTGAAGAACTATTTCTACATGCATCTTCTTGACCAAAATTCATGTTCTAGTTTAGGTAAAAGAAGTACGACCGCTTTAATAATAGTTGCAAATCAATCGAAGCAAGTCCACAAGCAATGACACGAAATGCATGTTGTGGTGGAAAAATATGAATATATATATTTTCGAACAAACTGGTTACAATAAGACCCGCCATTAATAAGACAGTGTTAAATAACTGGATTTGGAATTACATTGGACACCATAATATGAAATATGATTGAATTAATAGTTACGAAAAGGGGCGAAAGTTGTTACTATTTTTTGGGAGAATGCACGGTTGAAAATAAGTTTTAAAAAATAAATTTTAAAAATGGGGGTTAATCTGACATTTATTTCATTAGTCCCAAAATACTTGATTCCTACACTTGTTATTTCATTAGTCCCAAAATACTTGATTCCTACACTTGGTTAATAAATTTTTTTTTTTTTTTTTAATCACAAATTCCATTATAAATTGAACAAAAAAAATAAAAAAAAAAAAAAAGGCTCGTGTCTCTCTCTCATTTTTTTTATTTTCACAAACTCCATGTATTCTATGAAATGAATTGATAGAATTTTACGCTTGCTTTTCTTTGATATTTCACAACATAAAATTTAAACGTTCTTCTTTTAATCAATATTCCTTCTTTTTTTTTTTTTTTTTCCATAGCTAAATTAGACAAAACGAGCAAATCACAACGAAACATTTCACTTCTCCTTTTCAGTCCAATGAGCTATGTAAAATCTATACATTCATAAAAGACGTATCTATTAAGCATAAATTTCACATTAATTAGATATTTAAACATGGATAATATAGAGTTTAGTCAACTTCTCTTAATAAGATATTTCTTTATCATGTAACATCGAGTCTTAATAAGGCATAGAGTCATTAAGCTCAAACCAACAGTTCGATTCGATTAAGGCTTAATTTAAGCACACGAATGTTAAACTCAAACAATTCATCATCTTACAAGGTATGTTAAAACATAAATCTCACATCGATCGAATATCGAATTATAGACTAACATATGAGAGTTTGATCTACCCATCTTAACAACATTGACATTTTAAGATGGAACCAAAGTCATAATAATTGCAACACAGTTCTAGAAATATTATGAGAAGTAAAAAAAATACAAATTCATGACATATGATTATACACGCACGCTATAAGAATTACATTTAAAAATTGCACAAACAAATTTCACAGGAACAAACCCTTTTCCGATACACACTATACTTGGCACACAGAATCTGTAAAGAATCCAAGAATTTTTTCCCATTCAAAAATTTGGGAAATAAAAGAATGAAAAGAAAGAAAAAAACTAAAATCTTTACAACAATCAAAGAGTATACTTTTTTTTAAGCACTTCGGGCGAGCATCTCCTCGAATTCAAGAATTGACTGCTCTCTTTGAAGCTTCATTTCTCTTCTGAATTTACGGATAAATTCCTCTGCCCTCTCATCAACTCCTCGAAACTGTGGCACCAGAGGAATTTTCCATTTATCAGCACAATTAGTTTTGCTAGTCTCACCTTTTCCTGCTGATACCTTTTCTTCAGTATACTGTTTTTCCCTAAGGGTTTTCATATTTTCAGAGTTGGCCCTGGTAAAAGTACCGCTACTGGACGCAACCATTTCTTTCGCTTGGCCAGGAAAAAGTTCATCCACATATATGGTTGAACTCTTAGCGAAGCCATAGTGGTGGTGGCGAGGCCTTGCGATTCGCCTCGTAAGAGTCTGAAATTTGCAGAGCCAAGCTTCAAGGCGAAGTTTTTTTGTTGTTTTGATGGAGGAGAATTTGACTTCACGTAGTTTCGATTGAAGCTTGTTCTTGAAGCTTTTCCACAGCTTTTTAGCAGGCAGGAGCTTCTTCAAAGACATGAAGCAGGACATTCAAGTGTTTTGGCAAATTGAATGCTAAGTTTTGAGAGGATTTCTTTGAGAGGTGAGCCTTAGAGAAGTAGAGGGGATATTATATTTGCACATGTACTGGATTGGAATATTCTTTGGGTTGGAACTGTTTTATTAAAATATCTTATTGAAATTAATTACTTTTCCATGAAGGATTGCAAAAGTAAAATAATTTAAAGAAGTTCCGCTCTTTCCAAGAAAACTACAATATGTAAACTTGTTTAAGAAAAGCACACTTTGATTAACGGTGAACTTATTATGTGAGTAATAAAGTGAAAGTTTATGTGAGGTAATTATAATAATATTTTTATAAACAATTCATATATTAATGATATACATGACAGATTAAGAATATAAATAAAATTAAAATCTTGTCCAATATAATTATATTCAGAACATTTCCTTACTGTCTTCAGTAGCTTCTTCAAATGAACTAAAGAGGCACATGTTTGTGTAGCATGATAAATCTTTCTTTGTGTATTCTTCAGTCCTAAGTTTGGTCAGAGAGTCTATTATGATAATAATAATTTGAATGAAAATTCATTTGCGTATTGGATTTCTTTGCTGGAAAGCTACCTGAATTGGGACCTACAATGTCTCATTCGGCGAGGAAAGACATCACACTGGGACAGGGTTTAGCTACTTTATCAGTTCCTTTGAATTTGTATATGGCTGCAATTTAGGAGTTTGTAATTTGATTGCGAAATTATATTTATATACACCCGAAAATGATCTTTTAAGTACCGGAGCTTAGCTTATGTCAAGCACCGGTGACATGACACACCATTTAATTGATGAATCATTTAAATGGTGTGTCATGTCATCAGTGTTTAACAAAAGCTAAGCACTGATGTTTAGGAGATCATTCTTATATGTATTTTTAATGTAAAGGATAATAGGATGACTCTTTTTCAGCGTAGAGGAAAAAGAGAGAGAGACCTAAGTTTGAGAAACATATCGTAATCTTCTTTTTTGCATTATTCTAAAACTTATAGTGACTAGTGAATTCTCATATTAAAGTTGAACCCCTCTAAATTATGTGTCTTTTACTTGCTTTCGAATATTTGTTTTATTTTATTACTTTTGGTAGGATGGATTAGGTGCTCAATCTATACTATAGATGTAAAGGTTTATGAAGGAATTATATTTTAGCAGTTTAGTATTTCCAAATATTAACTTTCCTGTCAAAAATATCTATTACCTCTTCCTACAAAATTCTATTTCATGCGAATGAATATCACATGACCACATTCCTAGTACATCATACCTACTTACTTAAATTATTTGTTAGAAATTGAACACTCAACTTCCGGAATCAAATATGGAAAATATCGATCAAGAAACTTTACTAATGCAAGTGTTAAGATTTGAAAAGTCGTATTTCAAAATATACTAACCACATGGCCCGGCGGGCGATTTATCCTAGTTTCCATTAAGCCCCTGTTTGAGCCTCATTACATTAAATCTATTAAATTTTATTTTTCTCTCTCCTATTTTCAACCACACAATCTTTCATAAAATAATATTACACATAAATCGAAAAATTTTCATTTTTTTTAACTACTCATTTTTCAAAAAAAATACTATTCCCCCCATTATTTTTTCTACGTAATGGGGATCAAACAGGGGCTAAATCATGCTAATACATAATATTTTCGGCCCTTGAACAAAATCCTCATGCTCTAATTTTTAGTTCTTTTATGCAAACATCATGCTTGAATTCATTTTCAACTACTATGATGATATACTTTTGTTTTGTCGAATTTTTCAACGTACAAACATTAACTTAACTTATTTTTTTCTGCAATCGTATTGAATTTTATTAAGTCAAATGTATCAAACATATTTTTTAAGTTGAAAGTTGAGCACTAAGTATGAATAGTTACCCTTGTGACTCTCCAACTTGTAAAGCTAAAAGCCACCCTTTAGGCCATTCCTATCTTTACTTTACAGCTGATTCTTGTAACTCTGATTGACGTTCATAACCTTGACACACTTCTCAGGAATCAAAAATTTATTTTATTTTATTTGCGTGGGTGACAATTTTATGAATGCAAGAAACGAAACTACAGCTTAAGAGGACAAGATCCGACCTCCAAACATATAACTGACACTAAAATTTAACATTAACGAAATAAATTTAATTAATCAAAAAAGACTAGGACCACAAGAGGTTGCTACGAGAAGGACTTCCAAGGCCCAAATGCTAAGGAGTGATTCACGAAAGGCTTGAGAGCCTAGAATACCAAGCAAAAACTTATGTTTATAGAAACAATTAACTTATAAGCTATAATTTCACATTAGAGCTTGTTTGGTACATATTTTTAGCCAATTAAAATCAATTTTTTTACCGTTATTTCACTATTTCAACCGTCATTTTTGAATTCTTCTCTCATAGGTAGGATCTACTTTATCTCTAACGATTAAAAAATCAATTATCAAAATCTCTGTCAAACAAGCACTAGAGCTGATAAGAAAAACTTAATTTATCCATTTGTATGGTGTGATTTTATATTTGTGTGTCCTCATTCCTTCTCTCCGAAGACATTTAAATATTTTTGACTTATTTGATAAAGTATACCATATCAATAGTTTAAGAAAGAAATAAGTTATACAGCAAACACGTGCAAATATATATATATTGGTTAAATAGGGGTTTGTTGGTATTGGTGTGTTACATCGACTTACTTGTCATTTTTTTTATCTTAACCATTTTTTTAATACGGCCATACATACATCTTTCTTAGCATCTTCCATTTTGTCATGTTAATGCACCTACACTTAATATACCATAAGTATCAAAAGTCTAAGGAGTACTTTATAGAACTCACTATTTGATTTTGTAGCCAGTGGAAAAGAATACCTATAAAACTTAATTTTTTCAAGTTATAATTAATATAAATAAATATTTATTTTAGTTATATTATTAATAATTGAACTTAAATACGTACAAAGAGAATTTTTTTTGTTATTCAAATCGATGAAATCTACGTTTAGGGCAGGAAACAAAGACAACCCATTATCATCAACAAGAGTGCCAATCTTAGACAAATACAACTAGAAAATGCATTAACAGCGACCGAAATTTTTCGAGAGCTTGAAATTCGTTGCTAATTCCAACGGAGCAGTGTCACAAGACAAAAGTTCCAACACCGACACTTACTAATAGATTCCTGTCCATAAAAGAAACACTTCCAACGGGGATTCACTTAATTCGTTTCTTTATTTCTATCGGGGAGATTCTATCAAGAAAGTACAGATTTTTTTAACTGATTTAATACAGGAAAATAGATGTCTCACAAGGATTGGCTGCTGTCAAAAATAGGGAGATTGCTGTCCGCGTGTATAAAATCTGATAAAAAAATCTGTACCTACATAATAATTCATCATTTAAAACCAAGGTAGACCATTTGATTTAATAAACAAGTCATTTAAAACGTCGTCGGGCCATTTACGGAGTTTAATACTGTACTGTACATCTCCGAATATATGGTATGTTGGACATATGTAAAGGATTTATTGGGGGCCACCTTCTAGTGAAAGAGACGTGTGACAAAAAAATTTGCATTTTTTTCCTTTTTTTTGTCTCGCTAAAGTGAAAATTAAACTTAAAGAAGGAAGTAGATATAACCCTGACAATGAAGGAGAACTGTTATATATCTGTATGTAGTTTTTTGGGAAAATTGTAGCAGTAGTTTCTAATTTTTTCATTTTTTGTAGACTCTATCCTAATTTTCATTTTATACTGACGAAAGTTCCTAACCTTTCATAAATATGCACTCGAGGTCCATCTGGACAGAAACCGTCCAAAACACTATTAATTGACTGAGAAAATTAAGGAATCAACTTTCAATAAAATCGTCCAAAATACTGTCCAAAAAGGTATCAACATCCAATAAAATTGTCGCGATAACAGATAATTCAAGAAATTTACTTGGTCGACTGACGGTGTTTTGGATGATTTTCATTTAGATGGACCTCAGGTGCATATTTATGAAAGGTCCCTTCGCTGGCACAAAATGAAGATTAGGGTCAAATTTACAAAAAAGAAACGGTTAGGGACCACTGCTGCAATTTCCCTAGTTTTTCAATTTCTCGATTGATTTTCTGAGTATTATTATTTTTTGTAGTTGTTTATTATGGAGTTTAATCCATAACAATAAATATGCTCGAACAGATCATACCAGCTCTCACTTGTTTAAACTTTAGAGTGCGAACAAATTTTCAAGGAAATTTTACAAAAAGGCCCTAAAGTTGATCTTATATAATTATTTATTTTATTTTTTTACCACAAATTGGAAAGCTTAATGTGTTTTATTTTAACAAAATTATTTTTGTAATATTTCTACCTTTTTTTTAGTGTAATTAAAAACAACATTAAAGGTCCGTTTGATTCTAAAGATGGAATTTGGGTGGAAAGAAAATGAATTTTTGGGAATTGAATTGCCTATAAATTGTTTTACTAAAAATTGTCAATTGTTGTGTTTGATTGGTATAACTTTTAACCCGGAAAACGTTGAAATAAAAGTGTCTTTTAGTGTTTGTTTTGACTTTATTTTTCATGAAAATTGTCAATTTAAGAGATATCTTTTTTTAAAATTATTCCTAGAATTTGTTTCCATTGCAAAAAATAAAAAAATAAAAATCATCTATATTTTGGTGTTCGTTTGATTTTGTTTTATATGGAAATTTTTAATTTAAGGAATATTCTCTTTTATAATTATTCCTAAAATTTGTTTTCATCGCCAAAAATAAAATAATTAAAAAAGGTGGAAAAGGAAAAACCACCCAACCCCATGGGAATTGATTTTCTCCAAAATCCAAGAATTTGTAAACGTGTGAGGCAAAATGGGAATTGAAATTGCCAAGAAAATATTGTCTATCAAACATCAAAAAAAATGAAAAATAGAAATTTTCCATGAAAAAGGTGTTGAATCAAACATGGCTGAAGTGCTTGTCATAAAAGCACTAACCGATGGCAGCAAAATTTTAATGCAAGTTCCCATGCATTAGTAATATTTACAGTTTTTATAAGTGCCACATACATATACTTCCATATTTTATTTTTCAACTAA